CAGCCTCTTCCCCCCCCCCCCTCCCCCAGCCAGGGCCCGCCCCCTGCCAGCCAGAGCCCCCATTTCCCTCCCCCTCACCAGCCCAGAACTTTCTCTTTCTCTCTCTCTCCACACCCCACCGTGGGAGTCCTAGTGCTGGCACAAGGGAGCAGCTGTTTATAAAACACCAGCAGCTCTCTGCCACATGGAGACTGCTGGAGCTTCAGCCAGTCACTGTGGGGTGTACTGCAGTCGCCACAGCCCCCACCACTGCTGTGTGGATCCTGCAACCAGTGCCCTGATCAGCTGTTTATAAAATCTGAGTCACCCTCCACATGGTGGCTTCCAGAGCTTCAGCCTGCCACTGTGTGGCGACTCAGGGGCCCCGGGTGTACCCCAGTCCCAGCTCCCACCCTTCAGGTCTTGCTGCAGGCATCCTGAGCAGCTGTTTTTAAAATGGCAGCTGCCCTCCACGTGGCAACACTCCTCCCTGGACCTCTCTGCCGCCCACCCACTCACCACACGGTCCTGGCCCCCCCGTCCTTCTCCCCACAAGCCCAGCAGCAGCTTAGCTTCATGGTGCAAGGACAGTGAGTGCTGTTGCTGAGGAGTCAAAGCTCCATATTTAGATCTCTTGCGAGCCAGAGGCTGCTGACCCCATTATGGGGTTAGCAGCATGGAGGAGGCCAGGTGGCTGAGGAGGGAAGGGCTGCAGGATGCAGAGTGACATGATGTCACTCTGTTGTCCTGCAGGAAAAACTTTTTTATGGATATAGTAAGATGTTGGCATGCATACAGAGGGCCCATTTTTGTTACCAATAAAGTCAATGGGAGTCGTGATGTTAACTTTAGTGAGCATAGGCTGAAATAGGCCCTACTCTTTGAATTCTTATCTACTGAACTGTTTCAACTTTTTTAAAACCGCTCTGATCAAAATCTACTTCATCTAATGTAGCTAGCTTATCTGTGTTTAATTGTAATGATTCCACTGATTCCATTGGTTGTGACCCTGATGTATTTTTCCATAAATTTCAGATAATTAATTTTATAGCAGCAAGGACCAAATTAGAAAGAAGAAAAAGCTAAAAAGCAAAGTGACTTTGCTTTTTTAATTTTTGTATGTGGATAGTGTGTTGGTTAGAAGTTCCAGACAGACAGGCCTCGAGATGAAAAACCTCCTTTTAGCCTCATAGTGGGTGTGAGAGGAGCAGTGAATCCTCTCACACTACCTTACAAAAGGCCACAACCATGACCTGGAATGAGCACTTTCTGGGAGGGTATTTCAGTCTCGTGGTCATTCGGTCTTTTTGCCCCTCTGCTGTGGCAACTGATTTGTGGCGATTACTTTTGGGAGGTGGAGACTTGTCTGGTGGTGACTGGGCAGATTGAGACCACCATGCCAAAAACAGCATGTGTTCTGAACAGATGAATCACATTATAAAAATTATCAACCTTTCTATAGGCCAAATCTTCCCTGAATTCACAGACTGAAGCTGAGGCTCCTAGGTTCCAGAAGCTGCTTTTCTAAAGTACTGTATTCAGTCAGGTCCTCCAGCTACGCAAAGGGCTTTGGGTTGTCCTGCTTAGACAGTCTGGCTTTTGGTCTACTAGATGAGGTATGTCTAAAGCCCAAAGTTTTGTTTTTTACAGCTTACTGGCATGTCTTCATTTTACCATTTTTTTTTATTTCCTGTCTCCCAGAAGGTGCCACATTACACTTGCTAGAATGGATGAATGAACCCCTGATAAAGCGCTTAGTAAGATTGGCTGGCCAACAGGAGCATACAGAGCTATCATTTCAAGCTGCCTCCATTGTCCGACACATGCTATGTTATGGTAAATGTTGTGCATACAGATTAATTACATTTCTGACACATATACATCTGTCTAAAGTGAAATGTCACTTGTAGCTTTCCCAAAAGGGCTTGGCCTCCTGTCACAAAATAATCATTAACATTTTCATAGCTCACGTCATCTGATGTTAAAATGTTTCACGAATACTGATTAACCTCAAAATACCTTGCTGAGATAAGGTAAGGATAGTATAACTGTCCTCATTTTATAGGAGGAGAAGATTGGACTCAGCGATTGACTCAGCTATGGTCAAATAGTAAATCCAGAGTTCTCTAGACTCTGCTCTATGGAGAACTACCAAAGGATGTTAAGAAGCGGGTAATTGGCTAAGCACGTATTTGATGCAATTTGTATCAACTACACCATTAGTCAGTAAGGGGAGATGACGCTCAGGAAATGTCATCGATCTTTTTTCTCCCTGATCACCTACAGGCCTGCCAAAGGAGGTGGGAGATGGGGAAAGGTACTAACTGCCTCAGGGCCTGGTGATTCAAAGGCCCTTCACCCCACCCCTTTTACCCCAGGCTCTGCCGCTTCTGGGAGCATGGAACCACTCCCCCCCACCTGGCCCAGGGACCCAGTGTGGCTTTCAACTCACCTGCTCACTTACCAAGTACTTTAGTCCATATAATATGACTGGGAGTAGGTAGCGGAGGCTGGATACTTTAAAACAAAGACATTACATCAGAAATTATTTGGTTCAAGAAGTGTAGCTTAACTCCATCCACTGACCAATTCAGCCTTCTTGAGCTAATAGAATTACCTCAGTTCTGGAATAAGTTAATTGGAACATACAGGAAAGCAGACCTCTGAGAATTTAGCCAATAATCTCTGAATTACAATGAGGAATAATGAAAAGAGTATTGCATTATCTATGGAGAATAGACCTCTCTGTGCCAAGTATATTTGCACCTTAAAATTTAGATCCTTTGAACCTGCAAAATAGGATATATATATAAATTTAGCAGAAATGGAGCAAGAATATTCAATCTTATATGACACCTCTCTCCAATGAAAGGGGTAGTTAAATTCCACATTCTCTCCCATTCTGACCTGACAGATCTCAGAGTCTGGAATAAAAGATTCCAACAATGGAACAAATAAAATCTACTTTAATTCCCACATCAAACATCTTACACTGAAGAAGAATCTTATCCAGAGAAACAAATACTGCCTGCAAACACTAACAGCACAGAGTTTTTTGAAGAATTTACAGACTAAGTGGGACAGTATGAATGCTGATCAGTAGTTTGAGAAGTCCATAAATAGCATATATACTCTACAAATACTGAGTACCAGGCTCCAAGTACAGCAGCTTGGTCAGTAGAAACCTTTCATAGAAATTAACTGAAATGTCAATGACACAATGAGTTTATAGCATATGCTTTTATTTTCCATTAAAATTGGAAAACTGCTGTTTCCTCTCCCCAACTACATGCTAAGTCAACACACATTTTGAAACAGTATCAAATTCTTCATTTGATTAAATATGTTGTCTTATAAAAACCATAACAAGTAAGTGTTTAATTTGTTTATGCCTTTCCCATCCTACACCCACTGATATAGATAAAGTGATGTCTCTGCTGAAATGCCACCTGGGTGAAGTTCAGCACTACCTCATGAATTTTCTCAACCGCCAAGAGATTCGCTTTCAGCAGCTGGGTATTTCTACACTGGGCAAATTACAGGAAGGTATGTCCCTTGATTCAGCAGTTTTCACTACCAACACCTAGGCAAGGCACAGCTCAAACTTAGTTGCTCGTATCCAGGTTTAGAAAGATTAGATTTTTAACAGTAACTGTCAGTTTTGCTGACAGAAAACAATTACTGGTGATAATAATAATAATTTAGAAACAGGCAAAGAAAAAAATGCTATCTGAAAAATTATTGGGAGTTTGATTTAAAGATATGTACTCTGTATATTTGGACATGTACTATTGACAATTTGTGTTTTAAGGATATCAACTTTTAAATTTTTGAATCTCAATGGCTACTGACATTAAATAATTACTGACTAATCCTCCCCCAAATTTTCTACAGTTTTTAAAATGTAAATCAATACACATAAAATGTTTAAACCCCATAATTTTTGCACAAAACTATAAATCAATAATAAAAAAAATATTTTTTCCAAGTCCACTCTCATCCATGTAATACATTCAGAGTTTGGTAAAAAAGCTTCACACAGAGTAAATGTAACTGACAGGGCTTCTGATTACTGGGGATTACCTCTACTCACCTAATCAAAGAGCGAAAGTAGCCTCAAGGGTAGCAATTACTTTGGCTTTTTTAAAACCAAAATGATTTTTAAAGGCAAACTGGTGAAGTTTTACTTTCTGAAAATGGAACAGGCTTTATCAGGAAAGTGTAGCCTGTCAATAGGAAATAGAAATGCTGTGCATGGAGATTTGTCCAAATGGAGTTGGACTTGCTTTTTATCTTAGAACGTCAAAATGTACAAAAAACACACCCCAGCAGTGCCCTTGTTTGTTCATTACATTTTCACTCAATAATAAATTACCACCTTTGCACAAGAGATGAGAGAATGCAAAATGGTGGTTAACGACAGACCCTTAATTCTTTTTTACTTAAGAACATTCTTGCAGGGTGATAGACCTAAAACATAACTTGTCTTAGCAACAAGTCTTTCTCCACAATATCCACTCAATTATGCAAAATGAGGACTACACTAAGCAGAAAATTCAAACTACTTGACATGCAGGCTGCTGGAAAGTAACATTGTTCTGCTCTCAAATGTCTGCATGATCAGGAAGGCCTACCAAACCAAACCGGTAGGTCTCATATTTTAGAACTATGAGCTTTGATTGGGTCCATTAACATTTTTCAGAATATTATTTTGGGGATCACGAAATAGAAAGAAGGTGAAAGCATTGCTTCCTAAATGGTAAACACAAAACAGGAACCGTCAGCCAGCCTGGTGGCTTAGTTGTCTCTTTCTTTGCTGTTATGTGGGAGACTGTATTCAACACTGGACTCAGCCATCTGGGCACTGACCCTTCTGGATGAGGGGAAAGTAGTGCACAAACCTTGCCATAGAGGTGCACTACTTTCATTCTCTCTTCTGTGGTAATATTGTTTACATAGTATAGATACATAATATAGAACCTGCTGGAAATTATAGTGCATTTATATCATTAATAATGAATTCATTGTGTACATTCCTATCTAGTGTATAAATAAAAAACATTACATTTCTAAAGAAATTTAAAGGGAAGAATGTGTGTGTGGACAGTGTGTCAATTATGTGAGTTAGACAATCATGTCCCAATTTTCCTCTGTTCTCAGATCCAGAATTTTCATCTGCGTTCAGCCAGAGTCAATTGATGAACCATCTTGAGCAAATCCGTCATCAGACAGAAGAAACTCAGGAGCTCCTTAAGATGGCTACTAGCCACAAAGGCAGTTAAAACTTTTTATTTGTTCACCTTAGGAAATGCTGTCCCATACTGCAACCTGGTCCCTCAGAAGGATAGCTTTTTTATTACTACTTTTTATAGTGCGTCTGGGCTGTCCCATTAGCTTTTTTATTACTACTTTTTATAGTCAATATTTTCCTACCACTTGCAGTTCCAACCAATACATGATGACCAAATACTCTATATGGCCTAAATGTTTGGATAATGGAAATTAGATTGGTGTAGAAAAAGGTTTGAAAAAATAAGTTTCTATCAAAATATTTAATGGCTACACCTACGTGTACATGACTGATAAAATACCCAAAACTGGCTACACTTTGTTTATATCTTTTTAAACACACTCAGTAAGCACTGTGTGTGCAAGGTTCTAGTTATGTAAAAGCCTGCTTTTACTAAAGAGACATTCCTCCTAATAAATATTTATATATGCAAACTAATATATGCTCTTTGACATTAAGAGTACTCTATTGTTCTTCAGTGTCTGTGTTCATTATTGCATAGTAACCATGTCACTAAAGTTCCTAGAGCTACCAAATTAAAAGAAAAGGAACTGGAAATCAAAAATGAAAAATGTAAACAACAACACAGTCACTAGTGAAGAACAGTGAACTCTGACGAAGAAAATAATAGTAGTGAACTCACTGAGGTTGGGTGTCATACAAACTACCACATTTTCATACTAGAATGACAGAATAAAGGACCTTAGGGTAAAAAGCAATCGTGCCCATTGTATGGGTTGTGTTTGAGATATAGCAGTTAACACAAATATATTGTCCCCACTTCCTAAAAAAACAAAACAAACACCTCATAGCAAGTCTTCAAATAACTGTATATAAATCACACATAAGCCCTTGAGATTTACATCTGAATACAGGCAGTCCCCGAGTTACGCGGATCTGACCAGCAGACCAGGGAGACGGGGAGCAAAGCCTCGGAGGACGCCTGCAGCGGGACAGCCGCGGTGCATCTGGGCTGTCCCACTGCGGGCGTCCTCCGCGGCTTTGCTCCGCGTCTCTCTGGTCTGCTGGGAGGGGGCGCAGCTAGTGTCCCCTCCCCCCCAGCAGACCAGGCTTTTCTTCCCATGACTCCTGGGGTACAGTAGTTTGGGCGCTGCTGGGTTGGTCCCGCAGCACCGCTCCTCGGCGCTACTGGACCAACCCAGCAGCATCCCAGCTGCTCTGCCCGATTCAGCCGCTGTTGAAACTGATCAGTTTCAGCAGCGGCTGAATCTGGACGCCAGTTCCGACTTACATACAGATTCAACTTAAGAACAAACCTACAAGTCCCTATCTTGTACGTTACCCGGGGACTGCCTGTACTTGCAGCCTGAGTTTGGACGTGACAGGTTAAGTAAAGTCTGGAGTTTTACAAATATATCCAAGCTTAAGCATGCCATAAAACGAATCACTGTCAATGTTTGGACGTGACAGGTTAAGTAAAGTCTGGAGTTTTACAAATATATCCAAACTTAAGCATGTCATAAAATGAATCACTGTCAACCAGCCTCGCACTTACTAGGCAAACTGAAATATACAGTTAGTTGGTATCAGGGGGTTTATAATCGGTATTACATTTAGTAATGAGTGTTCAACCAAATCACTGCTAATTTTTATGGCCTCATACTGGAGAATAAGTACATATGTTAAACTCAGTGGAATAGCCAGGCATCATGCTATTTTGTTAAGGATGGTTCAGCTGGTCTAGGAAACTCTCACCTTACAATAAGAGGACAAGAAGTCAGTTTTCAATGGTATGCTTTGGGTAACAAAACCATAACAAGGGACTTTTCCAGTTCTGGTTTAGACATAGAATACATTTCATGTATAGCGACAGTGTGGCAAGTATCTAAGAAAGTGCTTAACTTTAAGCATATTCTTAAGTCCTCGAAATTTCAATACTGATTCAGAGTTTGGTCTGAAATGTCATGAGTAAACCGTTCATGTGATGAAAGCCATCACATTTGACTCCAAATCCAATCCTTGTTTTAAATATAATTTGAATCTAGAGCCAAATACCAATTTCTTGATCCAGCCCTCCTAGTAAATGATCCTGTGCTACTTGTCTTAACAAACAGTTTAGAGAAGATAGTCACAAATAAGTGAAGAATAGCTAGCACAATTTTCAAGCATAAAGAGCTCCTTGGAAAAAACCAACCAACATATAAGAAGGTATAAATATTCCAGACAAATTGTATTCTTACATACTATACCGGTTAAAAGTAATAAAACCTATATATTTTGGAGATATTTTTATATATAATGGTTACATTCATGGAGACCTGTAAAGAGAGTAGAAAATTAATTCACTTAATTTCTCTAGATCACAAACCATTTCTAAAACATTCTAACAATGGTTTTCCCCTCTCCGCACTCCAGATATAATCTGGTAGAAGTATCAATTTACTGAATTTCCAGTAGATTTATCCAGGTCCATTGATGAGTGGGGAAGGAGTGGAGAAGTGGGCAAGTGTCCTGGGGCCTGGCAATTCAAAAGGGCCTAAGAATCCCAGCTGCTGTGGCTTCTACTGGGTCACATGCTCAAGGCCATGCTGAAGGGCTGACAGGACAGGTTGATCCCCAGCTCCGTGCCACTTCTGTCCAAAGCCTTGCCCTTTCTGGGAGTGTGGAGCCACCCCCGTTCCTCCCCAACTTGCCCAGGAACCTGACAATTCTGTCAGCCCCCCTGGATTTAACCAATCTTTCTTCTGAGAAGGCACCCGCCCTGTAGCTGTGCAAAGTTAGCTCTTTAACATTCTTCATAGAACTCTTTTCAAGTCTTACCTTAACCTGAGCTTCTCTTTGATGACAACCTGCTGCAGTGCTGCTCATTATGGGCTTGATCCAAAGGAGTTAATCAAAGGAACCTCACTGGGACAGATTCCCAGTGGATGATAAATTTCATAGTCATAGCTTCCTGGACCACATTTCACCCCACCTGAAGATCAGTCCCGCAGTAACATTCCTTGCACACAACACTTAAGTAGTAATTTCTGCCATTAAGAGCACCACTTACACAAGCAAAAAGAGCAAGATTTTTAAGTCCAGCTTGGTAGCGGCAAAAGTGATGAGTCAAATAATGAAAGTGAATAATTAATGTCAATGGACTAAAGAGGAATTTTAAGATACAAGTCACTTGCCAGAAATAAGGCGTACTGCACTTTAAAAATTAACATTAAACAAAAAGAACAAACATGCGTCATTTCCCCTTTGCTCTGAAATTAACCCCTTTCCCGCAAACCCTTTCTCCTCTTACCCCAAAAATCACACACAATGTGCCCCAAATATCATTAGGCAAAGAAAGATCCCGCCAATATGGCGAACAGCAACAATTTACAGGATTCAAAAAAGGATTTTTCTGTGTGTCTGCATATGTACCTTTTATCATGTAGACATGAATGTGACTAACAAAATCAAGTTTGCAATATTGTTTTAACACTTTTTTTTCTAATTTATTCAATTAAATGATTTATTTGTACTGAGCAAAATTCATAAATACATTATCTAGGAGAACACCAGGTTTTCGTCTTGTCCATGAAAAAATAACGCTTTCAAATTTTCACATTTTAAAACCTGTTCCATTTTGCGTTTTTAAAGAAAATGCAAGAAGGTCGTAGTGACATTTACAGAACGTCCACGTAGAAGTTACATTTATAAGAACCTGATACAGAAGCCTATATCTTGCCCCCATAATTAGAGTTCTCTGCAAAAATATTTAAACCAACAGGTTTAAATTAAACCTCCCATTGGCCCTACTTGTAGAGCAATGAGATGTTTATTTTTCAAGTATTAGATCCGTAATATGTAAAAAGATTAGTTGCCAATTTTACATTATACTTTTTTAAACCAATCACCCACCCTCAAAAAAAAAAAAAAAAAATCAGGCCCTTTACCCCAGTCAGCTCATTACTGTCAGATTCCAGTGCCTTTTGTCTTGAAGAATGCAGAAAATATTGATTGGTGAAAAGGATCTTGTTGGAAAAGAAGCCATTTTAAGTAAAGCACGTGAAGCATGATTTTCTAGTGGTGAAATCTATTAGATAGAAAGATAATCCATGTCTAGTCTCCATCACTTCTTCTGCTGGTTTTACTAAGGTCCTTTCAAAAAGATAGCCACATTTTTTTTTTAGAAAACAGGCGAGAGAAAATAAAACACCCCTTCATAGTATGGAACAAACTCCACAGGCAGCAGAGATGCTTACTTCATCTTTGGCTCTTCAGAAAAAACGTTCAGATAACTTCTATAATGAAAGGCAGTAAAAAGGACAGGTTAGCAGTTGGGAATAATTTTTATCTAAAAAGCCAATTTAAGCAGCACTTTCACTGGCTGATCTTTTTGCTCAAATTTTCTACACACGGAAGAAGAAAATCGTGCAGGCAGCTGATTTAACTAGTGATATTTATCATTCAGTTCCACAAATTTGCAAAACATTTGTGTTGCCAAATCTGCATGCAGTTTTTTTGCCAGAAAAGGCTTCAAATGAAAAATTTCAGTCAGTTCCACTGATGAGGATATTTTATAATGTTTCCACAATGCATTTCAGAAGCAATAAGAACAGGACAGCAGTTTCTGATCCAGCAGTATATTCCAACTATCCAAATGTAAAGGTGTGCCCCTCTTGTGGTTTTCCCTCTGTGAAATAGGGAAATGGTTACAGCTTTCTACATAAAAACCCTAAATACCCTTCCCTGGAAGAGCCTGCTGGCCATCATGTTAGCTCAGACATTGATACTGAAGGTTTTATTGCAGTCACTATAGATCTCTGTAAAGAAGCAGACCAGAATTTTTTATATATTAGGGTACATCTAAACTACATGGCTCCGTCGACGGAGCCATGTAGTTTAGATGTACCCTAATATATAAAAAATTCTGGTCTGCTTCTTTACAGAGATCTATAGTGACTGCAATAAAACCTTCAGTATCAATGTCTGAGCTAACATGATGGCCAGCAGGCTCTTCCAGGGAAGGGTATTTAGGGTTTTTATGTAGAAAGCTGTAACCATTTCCCTATTTCACAGAGGGAAAACCACAAGAGGGGCACACCTTTACATTTGGATAGTTGGAATATACTGCTGGATCAGAAACTGCTGTCCTGTTCTTATTGCTTCTGAAATGCATTGTGGAAACATTATAAAATATCCTCATCAGTGGAACTGACTGAAATTTTTCATTTGAAGCCTTTTCTGGCAAAAAAACTGCATGCAGATTTGGCAACACAAATGTTTTGCAAATTTGTGGTATGTTTTGCTGAATTGTTTCAGTTAAAAAAAAACAAAAATATGAGCAAATTGAAATATTTTGACTTTTTTGGTCTGAACAACTTTTTGTTTCCAAATTTTCTATACTTTTATTAAGATACAATTAAAAAGATTTTCAAATAGTCAATATTAAAATTTAACATTTTGATTTGCTGAAACAAAACATTTCAATTTTGTTGTAATGAAGTGTTTTGTTCAACCCGTGTGGTGAGTGAGACTGTATCGTAATACTTTGCATGAATATGGTTTGTGTCTCAGTTTCCCTTGTGTGGTGCCTGCTTCAGTAGGTAGTGGTGGGGGAAAGGCTATTTATTCTTTGCTGAGATCTGATGTGACTGAGATCTAGCTGCCTGGGGTCTGAGCTCCCATGTCCACTGAGAGTCCAAGACGACAATGGCCAATCCAATTGCTTGGATATTTGACACCTAGCAACTAACCACCATGGATGGCTTATCCTCTGCAAGTAACCAGTTGGATATGATCAGCTGGAGAACAAAGGGTTAAGGATGGGAGGGGCTAGGTGACAATGTCCCAGGAACATGGACAAAGGGCTGAGGACTGGCCAGGCACATAGCTGGAAACAAAAGAAGCTTCTGGATTGAGACCAATCAGGGGTCAGAGGGCTCTGGAGTGACCCAGAAGGACTATGCTGTAACTTTCTATTCTCTACATTAACTAGGGATTTTTTACATAGTGTTCCAGACCTCTAATAAACCCTTCTGCTTTTACAACTTTGGCTAAGAATCAATCCCGTTTGAGAGATTTGGGGGTGCACTGCTCCCTTTGGGTGTGCAAGTCTCTATCAGTTGTTCAACTCAGGTGGATTTGAAGCAGCTGTACTGAGAGCTCTGAGGCTTAGTCCATGTGGTGGTGAAGTCAAGTGGCTTATCCTAGTGAGAATGTGACCCAAAGGGAGCTGAAGAGGTCCTTCCAGGAACAGTTCCAGAGCTGTTCTAGAGCAATGGACCTGAGGATCTGTGACAACCTGAATTGATTTTTTTTCCAGAATTGCCAGTGACCTAAAACATCTGTTATTCACTCTCCTATACTCATGAGACAAAGATTTTCTAAGAACCCCTTTACCTCCCCCTGACATTAGGTTAACAATCATGATTCGCATAGTACTGTGCAAGTATACATGGCTTTGCAAAACACACCGTAAGGCATTAACCCTGCCCCTAAGTTTTTACAGTCAAAACTAGGTGGTTAACTTAAGCAGTTATGTACCAATGAGGGACTCCATGGTCTCTCTTGTTTACAAAATGTTTCAAATTCTGAAGGCCCAAAGGACACTTACCTGCTGTTTGATGTGTTTGGACACTATCTACCTGAGGCAACGGCCCTAAAACCCCCTTATCCTCAAAGGCTAAAATTGGATTTAAAGGAATTTCAGGGCTACCGCTCCCATCATTGTTCATGGCATCCAATTTGGATGGTTTAGATCCAATGGGTAAGTTTATGATCTCTTCAAAGTTGTCGTGCTGCATAGACACTCCATTTTCATTTGGTTGTTTTCTGGGATTAAGATTACTGGAAGAAAAAGTAATAATAAATATCTTACTGATATCCATGATAAGCATACCAGGACACAGTTGGTCAAGAGCTGAAACTAAATAATTCTCACATATTAATGTTGATTTGTTTACATATACTGTACTACAATTCCATATGCAGCAGCAAACCAATTAGCTCAGCATTTGCTTTCACCCTTATTAGAAATCCACCTCTCTTTTGTCTCTGAGAAATAAGAATTCTCTTTAGAAAAATTCTTAGGGTCATATCCAAATTTAGAAAATGACTCTCTGCTTTCTAGCATATCTGCCACTTGAAGATGGATGACGCGTACGTGCATGTGTTCCTTTTAATCTGTCAGAACCAAAATAATCATTTAAAAAGAAATGCATTAACGACAACATTATAAGTAGAAGTCTGCATTCATCTAAAGTGATTTTATTATATATGATACTAAATATTAATTGCACAGCTAGCCATAACATTATATGAGCCATATCCCACAATAATCTGAGTGCTGATTTCATTCACTGAGTGTCCCATTTCAGAATAGTAGTGTCCATTAAACCTGGTGGTATTATAGCCCATAGTATTACTCAGAAGTATGCCATAATCTCCTGCACCATAGTATTAATGTACATATGACTGTGGCAAGTCCAGAAAAGACCCCAGAAAAAAGAAATTGAAGAGAAAAAATATAGTATAACTCTATATTGATCTGTACCTTTTTCTGTCTTGTACTTTTCAAATAACTAGCATGTTTTTTCAGCCCAGGTGGTTCACAAGATTCTACTCTTTCCACTGTCTCTGGTCCCTAATAGTCCTTTTTTGAGATTGTCCTGGACTTATCATGGTAAGAACCAAGCATGGCCCATTTGTGTATCATCTGCAAGGATGATACACAAAGATGGAAGTAGGAAATTAAGAAAAAGAAAAGGCTGAACAAAATAATTCTTTAGGCAGTAAAATATTCTTCTAAGGTAAGGGGCAGACACAAGATAATCAGATGTTCCAATTTTATAGGGCCAATCCCAATATTCAAGGCTTTGTTTTATATAGCAAAATGCAGGACTATGTGGCACTTTAAAGACTAACAAGATGGTTTATTAGATGATGAGCTTTCGTGGGCCAGACCCACTTCTTCAGATCAAATAGTGGAAGAAAATAGTCACAACCATATATACCAAAGGATACAATTTAAAAAAATGAACACATATGAAAAGGACAAATCACATTTCAGAACAGAAGGGGGATGCGGGGGAGGGGGGGGGTAGGAAGGAAGGTAAGTGTCTGTGAGTTAATGATATTAGAGGTGGGGAAAGTTAGATGTCTGTGAGCTAATGGTATTAGAGGTGATAATTGGGGAAGCTATCTTGGTACTGATATCTGTTTTGACACTTCGCCAAAGGATTAATGCCCACAAAACAGATATCAGACAAGATCACAAAGAAAAAACAGTTTCTTGCCATTTCAACCAGAAAGGACACT